AAGGGTATATTCTCTAAAGACATCAAGCTACATCAAAGGGTATATCATCTAACTAGTACTTTGTAGTATAAGAACTTCATAATATGCTAGTTAGGATTAAAGCCTTGGAAAGATCTTATTTGCATGTATAATAGAGAAAAACATAGATCCAAGGTTTATAGGGTTGCATGTACACCATAGGAGTGTTAGAATGCTCATAACCCAATATAGCCATGTGCCCCTCTTTGCCACATTTGTAGAAAATCCCCGCCCGAAACGATCCCTCGTGACTCTTGCTTCACTTGCCACAAGTACGACCCTTCTGTCCCCCAACTCTCGTATCAGCGTGCTTAGCCTTCTTCGTCACCAGCTACGACTGCACTGGTCTCCGGCCCCTATCCCGAGACTCCTCCTCCTCTATGGTCTGTAACTCTAGATTAATCTCTTTCCACCTAGCATTGGTCTAAATCTCAGCCAATGTCCAGTATGACGAGTTCGCCACGAATTCCCGAATGTCTCTCCTCAAAATTTTCAAATACCGACTTACACGTGCCTGCTTAGTGGACACGTGCTCTGGGCAGAATAACGCCCTCTCGTGGAACATCCTCATAATCTCAATCACCGACTCTGTATTTTGCTTGAGAAACAGAAACGCATGTGCCAAACATTCCCTCTCCACCAGGGGAACATACTCATCTCGGAACAACTATGTGAACCTCTCCAACGTCACCGCAACATGGTCTACCAGAGTAAAATTGGTAGTCACAAACTTCCACCAGTCCTTCGCTCCTGAGTGAAGCTGGTTCAGTGCATACTTAACTCTCAAATGATCTGGGCATGAACACATATAAAAGCATCTGTCAATGTTAGAGATCCATCTCATGGGAGCAATCAGATCTTGTGTCCTATCAAACTTTGGTGGATTCGTGTTGCTGAACTCCCGAAATGACAATGAGTCACCTCCCCGTGGCCTAGCGGCGGCGACAACTGCGGTGGCTACAACAGCAACTGCCTCAGTAACAACAACATAACGCTCATCAAATGTCTCAGTCAGTGTGATCTTAATAGACTCAAACATCTCCGGTAACACCTCTCGAATAGCTGCAACCACTTCCTCATGAATCATCATGCGGATCTCCTCATCACTAGTCCCACTACTCCAGGGGTTTTCACGTGTACTTACCATGATGTGTCTGAAACACAACAAAAAAATCATCAGAGACTCGCTCGAGCATACTCACACTCGATCACCCATCCCTACTTGTTCCTTACCATCCTAAGGATTCTTAATTGGGTTGCATATAGATCCGGTGCTTTCAGTAGTACGGGCCCAATACTACCTTCCACACCAACCTGTAGTCACCCTAAGTCCTGCTCTAAGGATCCCAAATCACAAGTACTCTATCTCTCACAAATAACAAACTAATCTCTCAGTATACCCCTCATATGCTCATTTAGGTATCTCTCCTAGATTATCCCTCCACTTAGAACTCTCTCTAAGTGATTCCTGCTAAATACTCCTATTCAACATATACTCAAGGAAAATAACAGATAGAAGCAAATTCTAGGGTAAGGCATCACAAATCAGGCAACTCTAGCCCTAAATATGAAATACCCAGCCTATCCTCTAGCATGCATCCCTAACATCGCATAAATATCTCATAACACAAATAAGTAACGGTATTTTGGAAAATCACCGTTCGGGCTCTAGCTGATTTTACACACTGCACCAACTCATTTTTCTCTTTAAACTCTTTCTTGTTTTAGAAAAATTATTTCTTTTGAAAATCTTTCTCAAATCCTCGGTTTGATTCCACACACACCCGAAAGTACGTCTGAATCCCTCAAACCAAGGCTCTGATACCAACTTGTAATACCGTAAATTTCCAAACACAATTTTCATTTAAAAATCCCATTTAATCTTATTAACACCATCACAGAATTCCCAAAAATATCAAGTTATCAAAACACATGTCCATAATAATAATAAAAATCCAGGATCCTCATAACTCGGTCTCGTGTGTACAATCAAGCCGATGCCTTCTTGTGATCCTGAGAAGTACCTAAAACACATAACACATTACAGTGTAAGCACGAAGCTTAGTGAGTTCCCCAAAAAACCACACATATCTCATTAGCCTCTCATGGATATGCTCAAATAAGACCCTCCGATCATTGTGTCTCAGTGGGACCCTCCGGTCCTACAACTCGGGTGGACCCTCCAATCCTAACTCAGTAAGCTCAATATAATACACAACATAAATCATAAAGACATAATGCAGGATATCACAATACTCAATATAAGCACATAAGACCCTCTCGTCACAAGCAAATATTACCACTCTAGGTAAGTATAGTGAGAAGACTCACCTCGTAATCAAGCAAATAAACCTCGTACACGAATCGTTAAACTAGCCTTCGCCTAACACATAGGATAATTATCTCTAATTAACACTTAAGCCACTAGCTCAATAAATCTCAGATCTTTGGGCTCACAAGTCCTCCTAAAGTCCAGATATGTGGTTTCAACCTCATGACATGCTCAAATAACTCATTGTCAAAAGATGGATGGGAGAAAACCCTAAAAACCTCCCTAAACTAAGATCTCACAAAGGAAAGGTCAAGATAGAAGCTTTTTACCTTCAAACTGAAGCTAATCACTGAGGAACTCTGGATCTATAACTTCTCCTTGATCAAACTCGCCAAGCTCTCCAAATATCCTTCCAAAGATACACAAAACCACTCAATTTAGTCTCTCTCCCTCTCTCTCTCATACACACACACAAATCAATCTGACCGATTAGGGCTTCACACAGGGGAGTTGGATGGCTGGTGAGGTGGAAATGAGGGCTTAAGGTCCTTTAAATAGGACCCAACCCCGAAGATCTAGGGTTTCTTCTCACAACGCCAACTCGTCGAGTTGGTTGTAAAACCCACGTGGTCAATTAGTCTCTACTCGATGAGTTGGGGCACCCACTCGTCGAGTTGCTCAATTAACTCATAAATAAATACATAAATATTATACCTGGGAGTCGGGATGTTACACATAAAAAGTTGTAAAATCATGCTTTTTCAGGCGAAGTTTCATTAATCGATGTAATCTCTCTCTGGATTTTTCTCTTTAATCGTACGATATAAAAGGGTTTTGATGAAGCAATATCTCTCTACCAGTCACAAATTCTCTCCAACGCTTCTGGAGATCAAAAGGCTCTCTACTGTTCATATTCTTCTTCCTCAAGAACTCAACAATGGTGTGCCCTTCTGAAACTCCTTCTGTTCAAGAGCAAACAAGGCAATCTTAACTTCTCACCATCAAGTCGCATCAAAACCTGATCATCGATCTTGATCCCTATAAGTATGAAAGCCATTTGCTTGTAATCATCGAGTGCTTGAAGTATTCTCCATTGATCACAACCCTAACCAAGATGGAAAGCATTTCGATGTCACTTCTATCGAAAGCCTATTCATCTGTGTGTCACATCAATGAAGAACAAAGGATTACGTTTGTGATCCTCAATCACAAAACCTACATCTCCAAATCAAGATTATGTTATGTTTTAGGGCTTCTCAATCGGACGACTTAATTAACCCTGAATCTGTGTCCAGCGCTGCCCTATTGGATATGTTTTACCAAATGGGGTATAAAGAAACCCTAACCGCCGTCTCCAGGTTTAGAAAACCAAATCTGCCACATTAATGGAATAACCTCTTCACTCTGCTGTTCAAGGCCTTTTCTGAAAGGGTAACTGGGTCTGATTGTGCCAGCAAGCTGTTCATGGAAATCATCTATGGTGTTTATATTGGACTAAACATTGACTATGGTGCTGTTCTATGGGCCCAAGTAATTCAAAGCACACATTCAAGAACTCGTCACATGGAAATCTCTTGTGCACGATTCTGGTATATCATTATTCAAATGGCCATCACCAAATTGAAGATTCCAATTATGCAAGATGCCATGATGTCCAATGTTTCAACCCTTCACACCACTTGAATCATTGTTGCAGACTCTTCTAATTTTGCTTTTATTGGCTCAATTCCTGAAGCCATGCTTCGTGATGTGCCTCCTGCCAGCAAAATTCTTGAAGGCTATTGCTGAAGCAGATAAACCAAAGATGCAGTTAATTATTGCTGAAGCAGATAAACCAAAGAAAGGGGTAACAAAGGGAACAAGAATGGAGAAAAGAACAAGGATGATAAGGAAGGTCCATTCGAGCTTGCGAACACTCCCAAAAAGAAAAAGGCGAAAGCTACACCATCAGCAGTTGCTCCTAAAAACGAAAGTTGAAGAAAGTTTCTTGCAGGTCCAAGTCCCCCACTCCATCTGAAAGTTCACATCTAATCTTGAGGTAAATACTACTTACAACAATTTCTTTCCATCTCCTCCTCCTTCACCCAAAACAACCACCACTACCACACCAATTACTAATGCACCATACCTCCCACTTGTCTCTTCTCAAATACAGAACACTATTCCTCTATCTACTCCTTTATTTATTGATTCCACAGCTCCACCAATAACATCATATATACCTCCTATTTCTGTCAATGCATCTGATGTGGGGGAAGGGGCATCAAGTTTCACATCTACTCATATCTAACCACCCATTTCCCCATTTCGTGAAGATGATCCATATATTATTTATGGGGATGGTGACGATAATTTAGCAGGGTTCACTTTTAGTCCATTCACCATTCGGACTGAGAGTGATGACGAAGCGTCAGTTATGAAGGGGCAAATAAAATCCATCCATTAAAAATTGATTTATTGATTCAAAATTCAAAGCCTTCATCATCTGATGAATATTATCAGGCAACGGTCAAGTTACTTCTCGAGACTTTCACCAAGAAACAGACCACCAATCTAGAAAAGATGAATAAGGCAGTGAATGACTCTACTAATGTATGAAACAAAACGTCCAAAAAAATTGATAAACTAATTTCTAATGCCACTGATTTTATGAATAATTTTCAAACATCTTTTGAATCGAACACTGCTAAAGATACCGAAGTAATCTCCAATGTTGGCTCCTCACTCAAAAGTTGAAAGGGAAAAACTTCAAGAAGTTTGTGCTCGTATTACTTCTGATCATGAAGAGTTCATATCGTCCATTACTTCTCAATTCTCCAAGATTCAAGAAGATCTAGCCATGGAAAGTAAGATAATGAACTCTCTAGCTATCAAGACTGAAAGAGTTAAAGTTTTAACTGTCAAGCTAGAACAGGCTAAGAAACAATTCCAGGATTTGGTAACTGAGAGGGCCATAATGAAGCTGTATCACTAATGTTACTGGACTACTTTTAGATATCATTGATACTATGGACTCAGTGATCACCATTTCAGTTAGAAAACACTTAGCCGAAAAACTCAGGCCTATTTTTTCACCGTTTAGAGGGTGTTCCGGAATCCTATACCATTCTGAAACAAGGGGGAGATCAGCCAAAGAAGCTAATCATCAAGCCAAAGCCAAATGTTAAAAGCGAATCTGAGCCCAAAGGCAAAGAAAAGCTATTCTATGAAGATCCAATCGTTGACAATAGTGAAGAATAAGTGATAGATGTAGAAGAACTCAAAAGGCGAAAGGCTCGTGAAGCTAAGTTAGATGAAAATCAGAGAATCGTTCGAGAGGCTGAAGCCAAGGAGAAGGCTGAAAGAGAAGCTAGGTTCACACTTGAGAGCAGGAAACTCTTATTTCCTGTATGGATGTTAAAACGAATTCAAAGTGAAGCTATTGATTCTCCGAATCAATATTAGTTAGAACCGGTTGTGTCATTCGAACTTTAGAATACTCAGGACTCACAACTTGATCTTCCAAAAGCTCCGAAGGTATTCAAGTTTCGTTCTTTTATCAAGGTTGTAGATGTCCCCACTACTCAGAATGGTGTTGATCAAATGCTCTTCACATTCTATCTTAAGCACATGAGGTCACAGTATGAGATGTGGAGTGCAAGTTAAATAACGGCAGTAAGGTCACCGAACCGATTGAGACTAACAGTTTTCCTAATGCAAAATTCAAAGTTGTCAGAGGTTCTACGAATCAAGTTCATGAGTTCACTCTTGCAAACCTTCCTGTTATGAACCCATATGATTGGATTACGCTCTATAACTAGTTGTTGATAGATGAGGAGAAATATGAGCCTATTATTGCTCATCTAAAGCTCATGACCATTTCGTACATTCAAGAGGTAGGGACGATGGATTTGGAGATAGAAGTTGTATTGCGAAAGAAGCCTAGTGTTGTTCCTAAGGAATCTCCAAAAGGGTTTGAGAAGCTAAAGCCGGGAAATTTTTACAAGGACAGTTGGTATGTGGTATTTGAAGATAAGGAACGAAACGAAGCTGATTATCGTAAAACATGTTTCTTCTTTCTAGATAAACACCACTTCTTGTCTTGAATTTATCATGGACTTGGTCAACAAAAGTAAGGCCAACAACGAAGGTTACAAAAACGTGCTTCTCTAACATGATTCAGTGGTATGTCCAGGTTCACAAGGCACTCTTAAGCGTTATGCCAAAAGTATTTGAAGTGCAAAAATGAATCTTGCCCTGATGTAAACTTGATCTATTGACGCAAAGGGGGAGATTGTTGGGATTATTGTGTTGCGTTAAAGGGCCTTTTTGTTTGTTTATATTGTACACGAGTTGAGCGCATCCACTCGTCTTTATTATTAGGGTTATAGTATTTAGGATGCATGCATGCATCATATTTTGGTAACTTTCGAATATCAGTGTAACCTTAATCACGCCTCTACAGTGGTAATTCTTTGTCGAGTTCTTATGAGGCGTGATATTTGAATCATTAAGCATACTTTGATTCTTCCATTGTGTTCTTATTTTCTTTACTGTTTAGAATCTAATCGACCATCAAGGGTTAATATTCTAATAATAACTATTACTTTTGTTAAGATTATTTATCCTAGATAAAAAAAATCATTTTTTACGCTTATTATTGACTAGCTCGAATCTGTGGGTGTTACACCTTGGTTCATAAAAATGCAAAATTTGTGGGGTATCTTGGATCATGCATGTGTTAAGACCTTTGTTAAGCTCTTTTTGAGCTCTTGAGCCCCATTAAGCTATGCATGTGTGTAAAGTTGCCAACTTTACGTGGTAAGTGGTTTTATAGAATCTGGTCTGAGATTTTGGCTTGAAGTCTCAATGGATTAAGTGCTTAATGGAGTGGGGTAGCCAACTGGGGAGTACGTTGGGTGTACTAAGCTGGTATACTCTATGTACTAGCCCCAAAGGGTGTGCATTAAGTGTACGAGCTGAGTACGTCCTGCGTACTCAGCAGATGGGATTCAGCATTGGGGTTCTCGGTTTTGGGCACATGTTTGGACCTTAGGAGATTAGGGTCTTATTGGAATATCAGATTTCTATTTTTGGGTTGGCGCTATTATATTGTGTTCTTTGGTTTGAAGACCCATGAAAGGATTTGAGCCCAATTTGGAAGATTGGGCCATAATTGGGCTTTAGGTGCCCATTTTTGGAATTGGTCCTTTTGAGTAATAAGTTTGGGCTTGACCATAGGCTATGTTAGGTCAAGGGTAAAATGGTCTTTTACCCTAGTTTAGACTCTTAGTTATGTGTAAGAATCGAATTAGCAATTGGATGTTATTTTATGATGATAGTGCGGGGATTTTATCGGACCAACAGACAGAGATTTATCTGAGAGACTCAGCAACTTGAGGTGACTTTCCTCAATGTGTTTATCGAGTCGAAGGCATTGATGCTAGCCCATGCTTTTCTATGTTAGGATGATGGATGCCAGTGTGAATCTTTCATGTGTATGCATTGGTATGTATACTGAGCGGGGGTAGATGTCGGGCAAGGCCTGATGACTGTATTATATGCTATTATCTTTGTAATTATCACAAGTGTTAGTATGATTCTATGATTATATGTTAATATGTTTATATGTGTATCGGGCGGAGCCCGATGTCAGGAGAGGCCTAATGATTGACAAATCTTTAAATAGAGCGGGGCTCAATGCCAGGTGGGACCCAAGGTCGGGTGAGACTTGATGCCGGGTGAGGCCCGATAAAGGGCGGGGTCTCAGTATGTGTTTATTATGTATGGTATGTGGTATTTTAGGGAACTCACTAAGCTTTGTGTTTACAATTTTCAGTTTGTGTTTCAGCTACTTCTGGTTCAAAAGGGTAGAGCCCAGGATGATTGCAGAGCACACACCATCTCATTCCGTATTTTGTGATTTACTCGCATGTTTTATGTTGTAGTGATACACTTTGATCCATCTTGGTTGTATGACAATACTTTGGATTACCGTTTTATAAAATTTAAAATGAAGCTTGTGGGTCTTATTTTTTAGATGTTACAATATATATATATATATATATATATATATATATATATATATATATAGAGAGAGAGAGAGAGAGAGAGAGAAAGAGAGAGAGAGAGAGAGGGAGGGAGGGAGAGATGTTCACATATATAAATTTAAGTATTGTGTGAATGTGTGACTAATTTTGAACCAACTAACAAATAAGGGTAATTTTAGAATTATATATATAATTATTTTAATAACCAAATATTAAAATATAATATTTATGAAACATTCCCTTGAAGGAAAATGACACATTAGCCCTACAAAATATTGCACATTTGTCCAAGCAGTCCCTTAACTTATATATTTTCTTTATGAGGGAATAAAGTTGGAAGTGACCTGTTATATTAGTCATGGTAACCTATTTTACCTGGTTTAAAGAGACACCTTATCAAATAAAGCTAAATCAATGTGATTAGTATTTTTGGAGAGAGCTTAATCAATTCTTGGAACATATCAAATTCGACTTTTGACTTTTGATTAAGACTTTAATCATTATTCATTGAAGCATCAAACATCTGGTTCATCAATTTAGATCCTCTATCGTCCTTTTCACCCTAACGACCATATTCTTCATCCAATCTTCTACTTTCAAAAAAGATTCAATAGAACCCGTAAAACTCTTCCAATTATCCATCACAACCCTAAAAATCAAAACCCAAATCGCAATGGTAGGGCAAGTGATGTATGAAAACACGAGATGTAAAAGATGTACGAGCTTCAGGTGTTCTAGATCGTCCCAAACTCTCCTACTTAGACCTCAAAATAGATCGTGCCACCTCCATTTTTTTTGTATTTGTGTTAGTGGAGGTTTTAGGTGTTGTGCTTCCATTAGAGATGTCATTGACAAAAATATGCAGGATGGCGATATGAGGATTGTTCTACAGAGGTTTGTAGGAGGAGGCGAGGATTCTGACCTTCAACAATACCAGTGTTCATAGTTTCTTCAAAATGCTTCGACTCTTTTACATCCAAATACTATGAAAGAAAACTAAACTTCGATTCAATGATCAGGTTCCTTGTTATTTACTTGTATTTAACATACTACCCTATTATGTGTGTAGCTAGACACAATCTATTCGCTCAATATTTCATGTTGCCTTTATCGAACACAAAGGTAATCAATATAGGTCAAGAGCTTTCGGTGTGACATCCCCAAAATCACGGCCAGAAAAGACCGATTTTGTTTATGCTTTATAAAAATCAGAGTACTTCATTTTATAAAAAGGTTGCGGAATTTGTTCCCAAAAAAACATGGTAAATAAGTTATTAAAACATTTTCGAAGAAACGTATTTATTTCATTTTAAAACATTTGGGATGTCATCGTTAATACAGGAACATAAGCATAAACAGAACTTACAATTATTCACACTAGTGGTCTACATCTCTTTAAATCTCTCAGTGTAATGTCACTTCATATCAACACCTGTGATATAAATAAACTGAGTGGTTCAGGTTGGGAAACCTGGTGAGCACATAGGGATTTCAATCCCACAATGTTATACCATATATATAGTTTAAAATTCACAAAATATACAATTTCACCATACATATATATAAACAACTCTTATCCCACCCCGTCGATCCTCGCAACGAGGCTATCCATACTCTTGGACTAGGGACGAATGACTAATCCATACTCTCGGATTAAAGATGAATGATTATGCCTAATCCATACTCTCGGACTAGGGACAATAGCTAATCCATACTCTCGGATTAACGACGAATGATTATGCCTAATCCATATTCTCGGACTAGGGACAATGACTATGTCTAATCCATACTCCCGGATAAGTGACATATACTAACTTCTATTCTCTGAGTTTAACTCACTTGTACTCGTAAGAATATACTACCCAATATTCCTCATATTTAATTTAGGTCTACTCTTTATCATAAATTATCAAATATAATCAAGTATGTTCTTTAACACGAATTTCAAGCAACATCAATTAACTTGCACATAAACATATAATTAATACTTCAATCAATACTTGTATTAAAATCATGTTCATGAAAGGGACTATGCACTCACCTGAGAAGGCGGTGACTCGGTACTCGGACAGCGCTTCGTTTACTTTAAAATAATTTCCTTCGACGAAACCTAGTATTATCACCAATAGATTTTAGTCTATTATTCGCCGAGACTAATTAATAGTCTAGCTATTATTACTATGATATAAGCGTTAAAAAAATACTTATATAACCCATAATAATAGCCCAAGTATTTATTATATGTTTTTAATAACGTTAATATAATTAAATAAAAAAACTATATTAAAAATAGCGTAGGCGTAGCTCACTTACAGCGGGTTTTATAGAAAACCAGGCTTTGCTTGGAGCAGCGTTTCCGAGCCGAAAAGCTCTTCTTCTCGGAGCCGTCGAGCACTCCGGGGCTTCCGCCTCGTGCTAGGGAGGTTCCCTAGGCTTTTCGGGGGATTTCGGGGCTAGAGAGAGGTTCTAGAGAGAGAGAGTAAAGAGAAGAAAGAATGGGAAAGGTGTGAAGAAAATGAGGGTGGGAGAGGTGGTATTTATAGGGTGAAAATGGCTAAACTTGGTGCCACATGTCACCATCTAGTGGCAAGACTTGGGGAGAAAGCAATGGCCAAGATTGTGCCACATCACCCATTTTCGCACAACACACTTCCGACTTCTAAAATCCGTAACTTTCACATACGACCTCCGTTTTTGACGTTCTTTATATCCACGCATAGGTAAAAATAATATCTACAACTTTCATTTTGACTCCGTCGGCTAATTCTCGACCGATCTTAAATTTAACAGTACGAGGCGTTTAGACTGTTAAATGACTGCGAAGAATTCGTAACTCCTTCTGCGGGCGTTACATTCGGGCTTCAACTGTTTTGGATATGGTATCCTTTTCTTGTTTCTTTCTTTCCCAACAGGAGTGAAAGGGAAATGTTCATGTTAGCAACCTTTTCAGTCATTGGCATTCAACATGTTCAATTTACTTCAAACCATTTCTCTTATACTATTTATGTGGGTGAACCAAGTGGTAACGATTGGTTTTTAAGAGGAAGCACAGGTTT